CATCTTCAATGCTTCTCAAAACACATCAGTGCCAGCTTAAAAGATTACTTAAAAATTAAACACTGAAAATGTGGATATTCCGATCTGCATATCAAGATTTCATAGAAAAGTAGAATACATTTCACGGGAGACTAAACTCATGTAGTTTAAATACGTGAATAACACGATAATCTTACACTTTACCATTCAATTGTACGAGATTTTTTTTTTAAATAAAACATTAAGTTTTGATCTATTTTCAATATATTTGAACAGTGACAAATAATCACTTGGCAGATCAAAATGGTTTTTGCGTGTTAATGTAAAATAATACTTTTAATAGCAAAGTTAAAGGAGGCATGAAATGAAACAAAATATCGACACCATTTTGTTTTAAGACTGTCAACAAGATGGCGCGCAAGCTCAATACAAAGCACGTGTACGCTAATTTTATTTTATTTTACTTAGAGACATGATGATTTATACATCTACCTTGAAGCTCTACTTAGGTACATTTAATATCAGACACATAGTAGATCGCCAGACTAGTATTATTGATATGACGGAACACAACATTCAATCACGGAGATATGTCATCAAGTGAACGATTCTAACGACGATCGTACGGCACATTTAGTTTCATAAACACCGATATAACATGTTATTGCTTACTTGTCCAATAACGTAAACAAAATTAGCGTTTATTTGCATTAACATAATCAAAATTTCTCGACTTCGTGGAGCGACAGCTCTTATTACTACTATTACGCGATCATATTTCGAAACGTGTTCTCAAACTTTCTCCACTAGTAAGAAGTAACTGTACTTCTGCTGACAATATCTTCTTATAAATAAAAATGGATTACTGTTCGTTAGTCTCGCTAAAATTCGAGAACGGCTGGACCGATTTGGCTAATTTTGGTTTTGAAATATTTGTGGCAGTCCAGAGAAAGTTTAAACGATGAGAAATTATGGAAAAATTGCATGGAAAATCGAAATATTGACAATTTTATTTTCCCATACAAACTGTACCTGTCAACTGTCTGTGTAACCTATCAAACACTTTATGTGTGCATTCCGATTCCCATAGAAATAATTTATATGGCAAAACAACGTTTGCCGAGTCAGCTAGTATTTTTTAATGCTGTTGCTGTTTTATTATTTTCATTTATTTATTCATTTCTCAAATTATCATAGAAAATAAACTCGTATGTAGTAGTGAATGCTTGTGCGTTTACGTTACTGGGCAAGTGAGAGAGAAAATCACTACTGTAAATATCTAATGGGAGTGAAGAGAGAACTACTTACGGTTAATAAGCAGACGTGGAAGATAATGTGGATTTATAAATTAAAACGCGCGAGCTTCTGACGTGTGCCAAACAATCAAATGTATAGTTACGCTAAACGATTATAAAAAATATATATATTCATATATTAGTACAAATTCCCACAAGAGGGACGGGAGAGTTTACGACACACAAGATTCTTTTGTTAGAGTACGGCCAAGAGCACAGCTCCGATCGATAGCGTCCAACGAACCAAACTAAATGAAACCCCGATAACGTACGAAATCCTTAGTACACTACCTTTATACGTTTTATAGGCCAGCCTTTGTTATATACGTACCTATGTATAAGCTTAGGGTGTAAAGATTACAATAAAATCGACTCTCACGGTGCACGCACACCTGCCGACCGTACCCGGTCTAGGCTGGGAATGGATTCGTTTGATGGACGCTCCCACTGTCGCAGTACCATCACCCGAAGCCGGGTCAGTCGTTATGAATTAATCATAGAACACTATCTAATTTTAATATTCGATTATTGTCAAATAGCGCATTGACGGTACACCGCGACAAAGGCCGCGCAAGACTACAATGCGCCCTCCTGCGCACGTACAGTCGCGTGCAGAAACCGAGCGGGCGCCCCTTTTAGCCAATGTTGAGGAAACCGACAAACCGCGTTGAGCGCGATTGCACGCCAACGTGTTGAGGGAGCGAGACTGGCGAGGTGAGGTGCGAACGAGACGGCAATACACCCGTACACCGCCAGGAGACTTAACGGGGGCGCATTCAAGTTTTGCGAGCACGATAAAAAATTACGAATCTAAAATACATATACGGTCGCACTAAATACCAGTGTGCGTACACCAAACATTATCATAATTACTATCATAGATTAAAAACACTCAAATACGGGACCGCCCGTAAAATAACACAAATCAACACAAACGATAAAAATTATTATAGTGGTGGAAAAATGAGTGCATAAATTATCGGAGTTAGTTCTTTATTACGAAAAGAAGTTCTTTTAAAACAAAACTTGTAATACAAGTTCTTTTCATACAATCCCTAGTTAATTAAGAATGAAAACGTAACGTAAAATAAATTATAATAACTTATTTACGAGCGTCCCGTGTATACTGTATACGGATGGCCCATGAAACCGATTACATAAATTAAAGTTAAGTAATACGTGGATTAACATTAACTTCTATCGATTCAACCATACGGAGTTATGTTAAAATAAATGGGGTAGGGCGGAATTTCTAGAACGTTACACCAACATAAATTTTCCAATGTCTTTTTTTTTTAATATACGTCCGAGTGCAACAAGACACGACGAGTCGTATTTTTTATTAAACTAATACTAACAAGTTCCCTGCCTAGGTTGAACCCTAGTAGTCCTAGGTTGAATCCCCTATAAATCGACGTAAGAAAACCGAATTAACAGAAAGGACAAAAAAGGCAATAATTTAATAGAGAGTTGTATGGAGGTACGTACAAAGAGAAAAGGGAGAAAATTTTAACACGAAGCTGTTTTCCATTTCGGTATTAAACATTTTTAGAGCTCCAGTGAAAGTCGCAGTTTGGTGGGTCAAACATATATAAATGTTCTTGCGTCGATATATAGGTGGTAATTGTAAAATTATAAACGAGATTCGTTATACATACAACATATTAGGTACTAATTAGTCAAGAGTAAAACTAAACATCTTTGGCTGTGCGCGGAAAATTGACGGGGTGGGAGGGAAGGTAATAAACACGTATTTGCATCTTAAACACTAAAGTAAGCGACCAGCTAACATCTACGTACAGTATACATACCCTATAACTATATATGCGACGAATACAGTTACGTCGTTCGTATAGAACACTACAAATATATTATATATTAGTAAGACGTTCGCGTCTCAACACCGGACACCGGTCGACAGAAAATGGCCGGTGATCGAGTGCCGTTCGACATCGAACAAGATAATTGACAGTCTCGTCTAGTAGGAGATCCATGGGGTAAAGAAAATACAATCCCTAATTCGGCCCGGATATAGGGAAACGGTCGCAGTACCGATATCAACTACTCCCTGTAATCGATTGTCGGACATGAAATGTTCAGTGTTGCCCGTCGCTATCGTTACGCATTGAGTACCGTCAGCACGGAAATTATAACAACAGAACCGATCGCAGAGGTCAAAGTATTCGTCTATTTTGTCCGTGGTACGCAGCTGCCTCGGCTGTTGCACGAATGGGCAGGCTCGTCCGGGTAAGTACCACGACCTCACAGAAGACCGATGTCAAGTAGAAGTATAATTTCTTTTGCGTTTCGTCTGGTGAGTGAGGTAGACAGACGGAGCCCAATTTTCAAAAGGTTGTCAACGCATCTGCAACCCTCGGGTGTAGCAGATGTCCATGGGCGGCGGTACTCACTTAACATGCGGTGAACCGCCTGCTCATTCGGCAACTTTTCACATAAAAAAAATTAAAGTAATGACAGTGTAAAGACTTTAGCCTGTTTTTGTTGTTAGATATTCAATCAAACAAAATAAAAATCAAATTGTTAATTTATAATAATAATCAAAGTTATTAAGACGAATTACGACGAAGGTGCTAAACGGTACATTCCACTACACACACAAGGGCGTGTGTTTTAAACAACTAAAAGTATCGCACGTCAACTCTCGCGAGCCGAGACCTACGAGGGCGTATAATTTGGGCAACAATTACAGTATTCTGAATCATAGAATTTATATAACTACTGTCTTGTCTTTGGTATATGGGAAAACCCTTTAGAACCGGTTACAAATATACACGGTGTTGTACCACCAATTGAGATTCTTTAGAGGGAATCGCTGGGGCATGTGCATTTCTAATAGGTTGCTCAATTCTAATAATACATACGTTAAAGCTTGTTAATATGTAAACGTCTTTACCCATAAAATTTCGAATAGAACGCACGTGGAACGGGCCCAACGAAAATTCGTGAAAATAACGACACTACTCGCAATTTTAAAAAAAGAACGAAACTTAAATTATTATATCACTTTTTATCTAAACCCAATTGGATACACTGTGGACAAAATAACGACCGAAAAGGAAGCTAAAGGATAGGTATGAAACGAGATAGTAAGTAAATTAAATCGCTCACGCCCCCAAACCAAGCAGAATTGCCAGCATACGGTATCCCTACTGATATCATAAGTACTTCAAATCCACGTACTTATCTACCGAGGAGCATCGCCAGAGCTTACAACGCAGTAGATAGGTACCCTCTCGCACAAAATTTCTAGCACCATATTTTTCAGAGCATCCAAAAGTGAGCAGTTAAACATTACCGTCAAATATTTATAATCTGTGGAGTAGCCCTTAAACACAATAAACGTCCTCTCGGAACTATATTGTTACATCAAAATAAGCAAAAAAAAAAATACGGCACGGAATGAATGGCTTGCATAGAAATCTTCAACTAGGCACTAAATAAAAATAATAACCCGTAGTCAGTGCGGCCCGTAAAGCGCCCTCCCGCGTCCTCAAGTCGATATCGACACGAAAGCGATGTATCGGAATCGCGGCGCCTCTATTATCGATATCGATAAAATTTAGCGTTCAGTTCAGATACAAGGGCCCGGCGAAGTGATGACAGTTAGAAGGACACGAAATACAAAGGGAATAACGATGCAATCTTTTGACGAGCGAATAACTTGTAGCTGAGAACGTCATTCACGGGAAACGGACAGGCCACCTAATTCATTATCGATATCTGCGCGAATCCCACCAGCGTCTTGTCGTCATACTGCTCGTTGGGGCCGGCCGAGTTCTGCAACGGGAAAGAGTGGTGTGAGTGAAACGGCGATAGTTTTTTTTTTTTTTTTTTTAATGCGAAAAGTTGCCAAACGAGCAGAAGGTTCACCTGATGTTAAGTGAATACCGCCGCCCATAGACATCTGCTACACCCGAGGGTTCCGGATGCGTTGACTGCCTTGTTAGTTTGGGAAGAGTGATTCTTTTGACGGACAATGAAAATCCCAGAAAACGTTCAAATGTATAAATTGCTAAATCCCACAAAAACTTGTAACGGAACGTTTGTGTGTTAAGGGTTTATATATTACAATATTAGTGATTATTTAAGATATCTCTGGAAATTAATTGATAGCTTCAAGCTGCACACATATTGTTATAACTGTCAAATAATGAAAATAGGAATTGTCCCACTAACTTTATTTAATGATAATAACCCCTGGGAATGATATGAATGCTTCCAAGCCGTTTCTAAATATATAATATATACTGTACAAAATTATAATGTTGAAGAAAAAAAAAAAGACAAAAACACGGAGGATACCTATGGAGTTTCTTTCCCGTAAAAGTTTCTTAAAACGTAATAAATGTACTCACCAAGTGAAAAGTGACCGTCTTGGGCGCTGGTTGGGTGGCGTTGCGCTGCGAACCCAGCAACTTGGCCAGGTTCAGGGAGATGGGCACAGAGTCCTGGGGGTCCACGAGGCCGGCGCCGACCAGCTCGCCGGCTATGCCCTCGGCGGTGTCCTTGCCCGTGATGAACTCGAAGCGGATGTCGTTCAGCTCCTGGCTGGCGTTCCTGCAAAGGTGGTACGTAGGTTTTAGTCGCATTGCGTCACCGATCACTACCCCCTGTTGGCATATACCCCTAATATTTGAATGTAATATTTCTACACCCGTAGCCCACACTCCTGTAGCGACAGGCGCATTTGTGTAAGTAGTAATAAAATAACAAAAATACCATGATATTTACATACCATCATCTAGGTAGACACTTAAAAATTAAAAGAAAGAAGTATTTTTTTATGTTCACCTGATGTTAAGAGAAACCAAACATGGACATTCACAACGGGGTTGCACCCACCTATTCATAAATAAATACTATCTCACTCACTAGAAGCAAATGCATAACTATAACATTTCCACTTAATGTGTGTTGTATGTTTGTGAAGTTGTGGTACTTAGCCAGACGGACCTGCCCATTCGTGCAACAGCAAATACTGGGTTGCGTGATCCTACCACATACAAAACATATTCAATAAAAAAACGTTTTGCCGCAGAAATTCTTTCCAGTTTTTTTCCATCCCAATTAAAGCAGATAAATCGAAATTGTGAACAGATGTAAAAAAAAAATTTTGCCCACAGAAAGTGCTTTTCAGTGCTTTTCTGTCACAATTTAGAGCAGATAAATCTAAATTGTGAACAGATTTTATGAAGTTTTTACGATAATAGCAAACAGTTAATTATGCAGTGTAGTATATACTGCATAATTAACTGTATGAAAGATTTTCTTCTTAATAATTTTTACTAAACTCAAAAATATTTTTGTCATTAACGGATGATGATGCTACTCAGAGAACGATTAAAATATGTCGTTTTATGTATTGCTGTCACATTACTAACGGTTGCAATCACACCGTAATGAATAGCAATGATATAAATAGTTAAAATATCTAAATGTTCTTTAATTAAGTACTTCATGGATATGTAACTCAAGATTTACGGGGAATATTACTCTGCTAGATCTTTCTAGCTGAGTCGTTATAACTCAGTGTCCTGGCATTCGCCTTTAATTTAATATACTCGAGCACCCCCACTCGAGTTCGATCCCCGTGCCGTCACAAAAGCTGTCAATTTTAAGTGCTGGCTTATCACGTGCTTAGCGGTGAAGGAAAACATCGTGAGAAGACCTGCATATTTTCAAAATAATAAGGAAAAAAAATTAAAAACTGGTAGTAAACAAATCGCTGCACCAACCTTAGCCGTAAAACAAGGTTGATCACGGCCGGCTCTGGTGGGCGGCTTGTCGCTGGTTGCGATTTAGCTTTGGCTTCGGAAGACAGCTGTAAACAAGCAACATTATTTAAGACGTTTACACGTAAATTATACTTTTAAGTGTCATGATTATAGACTGATATGTGGAAGTATGATACTTTTCGTGTATCGTTTGGCGAGCGAGGTAGCCGGTGGCTACTTTTTTTTAAACCCTCCTGTCATAACATTGTTACAGCACTGTTTTCGTTAGTTTTATTGTCAAACAGATTTTTTGTTCTCCCTGCTTACTTGTAAAAACTTGAAACAGTATGATCAGTCTCTTTTCTTTTTTTACCTGTTATTTTCTTTCTCAATTTTTTTGATATTTATTAACTTTACTTATACCACTATTTTATATTCCATTATGCTGTTGTTCATTAAACAAATAAACATCGGGTGAACCACAGCTTTTCACATTGACAATCAGATGGCGAGAAAGTGGGGCCCAACCTCGTCGTTGTCGCTGCCGCTCGAGTCTGCCCTCTGCAGCTGGTTCATGGGCCTCTTGTCCTCGGCCGGCTCCTCGTCGGAGCCTACCCCGCCGGGCCTCTCCCCATCCCCCTCCTCCTCCTCCTCGCTCCACTCCCACTCGCCGGTGACGGTGCGGTGAAGCCGGCCCGACGCGCCCGCCTGCTTCTTGCTGGCCTGCTTCAGTATCACACACACCCATCAAATTCCAACGCCTGATACTGGTCACAGTCTTAACACCAGAGACTGGCAGTCAATTGCGAGTATTACACAAATGATTGGTAATATTTTGTCAAGACTATGTATTCAGAGCTATTTTCGGTTCTTTGCTTAGCTTTAAGAAGCACGAAACTAGATGACACGTTGCAAATTTCGTTACTAGTTTTTATTTATTTTTTCCTTTCAACGGGAGAAGATGGCTACAAGCTGTCGGTTCATCTGATGTCAGGTGATTACCAAAACCGTCCATAAAATTTGCAACCGGGTCGACCTTCGGTTTCAAATGCCAACTGAACTGATAGAAAGATATATCCCTGAGCGAGAATCGGTTGAAACTCGGTTATATGACGTTATTTACTTATTACTTATTTAAGGTGGATACCTTATGGACCCTGGTCTCCATACTCGGCCCGATAGCAACTAGGGTCTGGGTGAGGTACTTCTTGTCCTTCGCCTTCTTGAAGAAGGGGTGCTTTAAGAGTTCTGTGGCGGTCGGCCTCTTCGACGGATCCTTTTGCAGGCAGTCGCCGATCAGCTTGCGGAACGTCTTCCCGTAGATTTTGTACTGGTCTTTATGGTCGGCACCTGGAAAGTTGTTGTATCTTTATTTCGCAAGGGCAGCCATTTTCTAAATGTCAAACGCTCAACGATGAGATGATGAAGACCGCACCTCTCTGACTCTGAGACGTGATTAAACATTCAGCTACTATTTTAAATATTATTTGTCAAGTGGGTTTTTTTGCTGCCATTGATGAAAATTAGACATGCAGAATAAAATGATCTAATAAAAGGTATCTTAAAAATATTTTAAAATTTTCGAACTTTAATGTATTATGATGCCGTCTATTGACAATTTGCTTGAATAAGTGATAATGACATTGACTGGAGTCAGTTATTCTTGAAACCAAGCAATAATTAAGTAACTGGTAACGGTACTGAGGAAAATTTCGCAGGGGTATAATAGTAAATAGTATACAGCGTGTCGTTACCATCGCGACAATAAATGAACACACGTCTAACGCTACTTGCCAATAATCACAAAAAAATATTAACGTTAAACAAAATCCATAATTAAAAAAAAATATTTTTTCTAATTAAGTAAAAAAGAAACAAAATTTGTAACATCCTATACAACTCGTATACAAGCGTCGCATTACAAGCCTCTCCTTCTAACAGTATGTTTTGTCTCTTTTAAATTCATTCAACCCATTCATATGCCTTGTGACCTTCATATGCCATTGTGACCTTTACAAATGAACTTTACGTTACACTTTTATACGTAAGGGTGTTCTAAAATTGTTTATTTTGGAATGTTTAATAACTCTGTATATATTGATGTTTAAAGAATGTAAATGTTTAATACAATTTTAAAAAGTTATCCTCTATATGTGTGTTCATTTATTGTCGCGGTCGTAACGACACGCTGTATAGTAAAACAGTAAATACTGTTTGTATGTCTTATGTTAACTGTGGCAGGGGCACGCAACACTTCGATGTTGCACGAATGGGCAGGTCCGTTCGGGGAAGTAACCACGACCTCATAGGGGACGGGCGTGAAGGGAACTTAACACTTAGTTCTGCGTTTCATTAATAGATGGCCAATGCGGCCCATTTTATTTAAAGGTAGCAACGTCCCGCTCGCTTGGCACCTTCTCACACATGAACAAAAATTGAATGCAAAGAATTGAATTTAAGAGTATTAAAGGACATATTGCGGTGGTGAGTAGAGTTACTTAAAACTGTGGCAAAACACTAGATGACTCAGTTTCTCTTATAAAAAAACAAAGGGAAAAGACACGTTGAAATTTTCGTCGGCGTGAAGATAAGTGGCCAGAGCGTCAGGCACGTATCCCGGCGGACGCAGGGTCAATCCTCGCAGTGGCGAAAAACTTTTGTCCATTTTTATACAAAATTTTAAACTTAAAACAGCTACTAATGACATTAACGTATGTTAAAATAAATCATTGTTACACTTTCGACCCGTTATTAACTTCAATTCCCATCAAATACAATTGATAACGGTTCAACTAAATAACTTGGTATTATAGGTGAACGTTAAAGTTGTTATTGTTCGCCATGGTAACACCATGAATTCGGTGTCGCGCATCGCAAAAATTCACATAAACGAAAACGAACGCGCAATAAGGATAAGGTATGGCTTCAAAAATGTATTGTACGAAATGTGACGATATACCTGTGTCCAGACTGGGCGGGTCGTTCTGTAGGGTGAGCATTAGCACCTTCATCGGCGGGAACTTGTGGTAAGGCGCCGTGCCGGTCGCCATCTCGATAGCGGTGATCCCGAAGGACCAGATGTCCGCTTTGAAGTCGTAGCCGTGATCCTGAAATTGTACATATACAAAGTGATCTAGGGTTGTCAAGTCGTCTCCTTCTGTGAAACTGTTACTCTCCAGTAGGAGATCGCCGAGCGGGAATGGGAGAGCACCCCGCTGGAATACGGCAGGGGCAGCGTGCTGCTCCGTCAGCCCTGTAGTCCCGGGACTCATAGAATAGGACTAAGGTCTCTCCTGCCTGTCGTAAAAGGCGATTAAAAGGGGACACGGATTGGCATCAGCTCGAAGTGGTCTCGAGCTGCTGCAAGATGGCGAGGGAACCGATTCCCTCAACCGATTTCCTCGGAACCGATTCCCTCGGAGCAGGGTAAACCATCCCCGAGGACGGTTTACCCTGCTCCGAGGCGTAAGCCCTCTACTGAGAGACACTGGTGCGTTCAACAGGAGATCCCGGAGTCCCTCGAAACATACAGAAGGTGGCCACCGAGGACGTTTTAGTGTGTAAGAATTCCACATAGCCCGGTCATATTCTAACCTCCCCGCCCCCTCCCCCCGGCAACAAAAAAGTTATCAAGTCAATAGAGGCCAATTTAATAGCACTTGGTCCAGAGTTAATTAAAAAAAATGTTTTTTGTCGTTAAAACTCGCCGTTATCAAGACATATTAAGTGCTCACTTATCAGAAGATGAAACAAAACATCGTGAGGTATTTTCGAAATAACATCCAAAAAAAATCGAAAATATGTGGTCTGCCAATTCAAAGTGGGGTCGAGTGGTCAACGCTCTGTAGGCCTTTGCCCAGTTGTGGGATATGTATAGGATATGGATACTTTACTTACTGACTTATAAAGTAAATATTTATGAAATGAAATAAAGTAGTAAATATTATTCGAGTAATAAGCAGACTCTAATGGAGCAACGGGTGATGAGGATTGCTTTCCACGTGTACCGAGACTATTAACGATAGGCAGTGACCCTTTTTTCGTGCCGTTCAGGGAGCGTGTCATTGCTATTGACACGTAAGACATAAAAACAATCCCATACACTAGAATAGTTAGGACTCATGGCCGCGATCTTGAAATCATCAAAGGCCACAAAACAAAGAATTAATCGAGAAATTATCGACGAATTATACGTTAGCGTCTGCTGACATGTAACATACCTATAAGTCAGTCAAGATTTTTTGTAGTTTTGAGTGATGTAATCTTTTTTATTTTGACAGGTCTGCCTGTTAAGATTGCCGACTGGAAGCGACCACACTATAGGCTACAAGGTCACCTGTTCCATAACTTCGGGCGCCATCCAGCACGGCGTACCAACGAAGGTGTGGCGCACTTTCTGCCTGGAGAGGTCCCGCCCCGTCGCCAGCCAGGCGGAAACGCCGAAATCCGCGATCTGCACGGTGCCGTCCTCGCCCAACAGAATGTTGCCAGCCTTGATGTCTCTGGAAACGAACGCGTCATGCATTCGTCACTGCACTGGACTCCAAAAGCGATATTTAAGCATTTATCGAAGAGCGAGTTCACTTGTTGACATATAAAATTGAAGAAAACAATTTTTACGCATCCATGTGTGAATAGAATTGTCGCAAAATTTTTCGCCCTTGCCAACGCTTTGCGTATTACGCGTCCAGACGCTATAGCCACTATGCTAAGGTCGACGTTTTAATGCGCGAAAATCGACGTCATATCTGCTTCGTAGCAATACTTGGCGTTATCTAATGCGATTCCTTTACAGAAAGCACACTCAAATTGCATGGAAAATTAAAAACGAAAGATGTCAATTTTTAGTTTTATCTTGAGTGCACAGAGTAGCAATAAAAAATAACAAAAATTAAACAATAAACTGTGTCGTATAATATCGGGTCCGATCTCAATGCATGCAGCATTCATGATTCGTCCATGACCATGAGAGCTGCGGGTATACGAAATGTCGGGGCATTGAAATTCAAATGGGACGCGATAAAATCACTGACATCGTGAGGGTCGAGGGGATGCATAATGATGGGTAGAAAATAACCGAAGAGAGCAAGAATGTCTGCTGGGTCTGATATTGTTACCATTATAATAACATACAAAATGATTAAAACGTGAATACCTTGTGTAATGAAATACAAGGAGTATTTAATACTCTCCGCTCGACGGAGTATTTTTTTCATATGGCAATTACGAACGGAAAAACAGTTCTTCATTTTCGAAAAAAAAAGTTCGATATTAACTTTACGGACATGATAATGAGGATTACTGGTTATCTCATGTAAACAGTTTACGGTCTCTCACACGATTGGCAGAAGTCCCAAGAAAATATACCGAAAAGATATTTGATAAACTTGTAACCAATAATTTTAGTACGTTTCGAGTATCGAGGGGAGTTCAGTGTACTCTCGGTATCGGGGTGATATACTAATGATGAGGTGAATTTAATTATCTCATTAGTTAGACACTCTTTGAGAACGTAAATATAAAATTGTATTTATTTGTCACCAGTAATATTCAAAATATCGTACCAAAAGTCACCTACGATGACCGTTGGAAAAAAAAACAAGCATCGCGCTGTGATAAAATTCCTTACAAAACAAATGGTCACGACCAATGATGGCTGTTTTCCAAGATTCTGCTCCTTCGTTCCCTACTATTCAGAAGTGGTCTAGTGAATTTAAACGTCAGCACTTACAGACAAGGAAGATTTTTTTATAGGATATTGAAAATTTACTTTTCCGCTGAGATAAGTGTATTGGGGTTATGGGGGAGTACATTTAAAAACTAATTTCTTTTTATTTATCTATTCTTTCATTCCTCTACCGAGAATACATTGAACGTGGAATCTCGTAACACAGGCGTAAAGAAAAATTTGAATATTTGCTAACGAAGAAGGTACGTTTGAGTGAGAATGGACGGCGGAGTGCAGAACATGACGTGCCGTGCGTTTATCGTCAACCAACCTTAATTATTCGGACGTAAAGGACATATTTGCAATTAATCGTATGGTGATCAATTCAACGGCCCTCGGGGCATGTGACGCGGTACATTGAATAATAAAGTGGCATGACATAATCTTGTCCCTCAGGCTTATCTATGTGAATACATAGTGATCGTTTTTTATATATCCGTAAAACATTCTCAAAAATAAGATAGATCACACTGCACCATCATCACATTAAAATAGATCATCGAAGTAAAATAGAAAACTTTGAAATTTTTATTAAGTATTTATATTTGTATGTGTATAATACATTATATATATGTGTATAATACATTCACTTTTCGTCTGGTGCGTGAGGTGGCCGGAGCCCAATTATTAAGGTCGTCAACGCATCTGAAACCCTTGGTTGTAGCAGATGTCCATGGCCAGCGGTATTCACTTAACATCAGGTGAACCGTCTGCTCGCTTGGCAACTTATACACATAAAAAAAATATCCTGTGTTCAATGGACGTTTTACATACATAAATTTCACGTGGACACAGCCAATAGAATCATCACATAAATAGGTGTTCCGTGTGGGAATTGAACCCACGACCTCAAGCGATGAAGTCATCAACAATTCATTTACGCTTGTGCATGAAAACGTGTTGTTTCATTGAAATGTGATGATAACTAAATCATAATTTTCGATAGGGTCCTTTCGCAAGCCGGAGACGAAAATGCTTCACGATCTGTTCTTTAAACTAAATAAAAAAAAAAACATCAATCGAGTCGCAGAGCTAATCGCAAACGCTGTAGGCGCTTAAAGCACCACCCACAGATGGCAAGTATCACTTTCGTCCAAGGCTTAATCATAGAAAAATCGCCACGCTGACGTAGCACGAATCGCTGATCCATTTGCATATTCGGGCGATAAAAAAACATGTCGCCGTGCGCGAAGTGAAGTAATCAAATAAGCAGTGCATAGTAGGTACAGCGTTGTTAATCGCAGAGGAATTGTTACATAGCCAATGTTGGGTAACTGCAGTCTATGTATGGGGAAAGCGACAGAGCGGCTAACGGATTGCAATGAAAACTTATAGGTCGCAACGATTAGGATCATGTTAATCAGCTAAGTAGACTACCGACCAAAAGAAGAGTTGCTTACTAGATACAGACATATACTGAATAGTTAGCCCGCGCCATCTTTATGCTTTTAGTGTGCTAATAGTAATGGTAAAACGTTTACCGTAGTTATACGAATAACTGCATAAAAAAGTAGGTACCAGAGTTTCAGATGATAGGAATTTATATTTCACACGTTGGTTCGATTCCCTGTTTCAATTATTTTATTTTTATTTATATTTAACGCAACTTACAAGTTATGCGATTACGAACTTATAACGTTACGAGCTTAAGCTTATACTTTCGATAATCTGCGAAATTCAGTGTTGAAGACCTATTAAGACTTCATTAAACACACAGATTAATTTAATCACTCTAATTGTCTAGCTGCAAAGCGATATGGTTTGATTCCGCAGTGTAATCCTCACCCTGTGATCGACCTAGTGATAATTCTGTCTAGCCGTTCCGCCTTCATTGGAGAAGTTCAATAATGTATCACCGCAGACCAAGGTCCAATACGTATAAATTTGGGACCACATGGGAGTTAAATGCAAAAAGAAATTTTAAAATCGGTTCATAAATGACGGCGTGTTAAAATCGAGTCAATAAGAAACGCCCCAGCATCAGCGGGCAGGCGAGAGCGTCCGATACAAGCCGCCCATTTGTCCCATGCTCCATCCCCGGCGAAGCACTATATGGTGTTACGAACTGGGAGCAGAAAGACCGAAAGACAAGAAACGCCCCAGCATTAGCGGGCAGCCCGAAGCAGCCCCATACGAATCCCGTTAGTCTCCGAGAGGAAAAGGCGTGCGGCATTTTTACGTGTCAATCGCGCTCATTACGGATTCCGCGTGCATTGCACCGCGCCCGAGGCACGATTCCGAAACGAAACGGGGCGACTTTCGTCCGACATCGCAACCGAACGGCTGCGCGCGAACTCTACGCTCTGGCTGGTTAAACTCTCTGAATTAATCAGAATGATCTTCAATGATCAGAATGATCTTCAATAATCAGAATGATCTTCAATGATCAGAATGATCAATTCAAAGAGTTTAATTATCCCTTTGGCAACTTAAATAACATTTGAAAAGCCATTTGACAACTGATTAGTTGACTTCTACGACGATCAGTGTTTCAGAAACCGGGCGTAAGTGTACCGGTGGAATACCATCAACGGTCCCGCGCACAATTTCACGTGCCACTTACGGTGAAGTACCGAGGCAGCTCGAAGACAAGCTCAAACAACAATTATTCACACTATACGTTTCGCGCGGCCGCTGAAGAAAAAGCAAGCCCAATAAAAATCATTGCGAATTTAATATTCTCACATTCGTTACGAAAGTATGGCGTTTGTTGATTACCACGTTCAATTCTAGCACGGCCACCCTATTCGGTGAGCGCGGGATTAAGCATCGTTTTGTCTCTGCTCGAGATGAAATCAAGGGCCTATTATTGCGTTCAAAGCTAGCGGGAGCCCCATACGTCACCCTTTACTTTTTTAATAATGACTGGCAACCCTCATCAAAACTGTTGCATGTGAAAGCAAGTTTTATTTAATTCACGTTACTCAATTCACCGGTGGCCAAAAAGTCTAACTTTTATCTTTAAAAACAACTACTCTTGAGAACCCGAATGTCTGAATTGCACGCCAGTTCTGCGCCGACCAGTACGCAAAACAAGTTATACCACTAACCGTTATATACGTTGCGTATTTATACATACAAAATGTTCATGGGAATGGAACTTCTGGTAAGCATCGTTATAATTATGGTTTAAATAAGCGGACGAGAAAATATAATAAAGAGGTGTAATTATGCGAGGTGAACAACTTTTCAAATGACAGGCAGGCAAACTTGTCGCTGCGACAATATACATTTATTCGATATCGGTCCCAAACATCGCTAATCAACTGAAGAACAAGAATAGATTAGTGTCGTCTACACTAAAACTCACATTACACCGAGCTTATTAAGTTTGCTTCGTTACTTCTTTACCATCCGTTTGCGTTTAAACTAATTAAAAGCGATAATAAATCGCTTTTAATTAGTTTAAACGCACGCCACCAGAGAGCGTAAGACGCGAGAAACGACTTACACGTGCGCCAATGTTATGAAAGTTACTTTTTAATTCGCAGGAATTGCATTCATCGTCAAGGAAACCTCGGCAATTGTGGTTACTGTTACGTTTTGGCTCGCGTCGGCGTTGCGTGAGACGAAATGTCGCAAATCTAAAGGGCCCCAAGGAATTTGAATTTGTAAGTTTAGCGACGAACATGATTGTTAATAGAATCCGCACGCCAGCATCGTTCGAATTTCAAATATTCTGACATATATCTATATTTTTCTAATTTACATTATTAAATCACCACCTAATTGATATGGGCACAGTAAACCGTCACTTTGATTCAGAACTTTGAAAATTATTACAATAATAAGTTATTACAAGAAACAATGAAAACAGACATCAATCAATACATGATATCTTTTTCACACTAAAATAACAAACAATATTCTTAATGTGAAATCATATCATCAAATCCAATATCGCAACCATTAATGTGCTAAGCCTTACATTATCTTTAAAGAGCGTATGTTCGCTATTTATAATAAAACATCAATTCGCATCGACACAACGCATTAATGCAAGCTCTGATAATTTATCCAATGCATTTACTAAAGTACAGGCACATATCTTGATAAATGCAAATGCTAGCAAACTTGTCATGGGCATGTAATTATATACAGATTTAACAAATAAGTAAATGCATATACAAATTTACAAACTGACGACGGTGGTTACGTCTAGCTGACGTAAACAATTAAAAAATTAAAAAGTATCTGCAATAACCTCAATCAAAACAAAATATGTGTATGTGGGCTTAAGATCTTGTTTGATGTCTTAACATAATAACGCACAACCACAAATAAGAAATAATATCTCTCATAACTCAAAACTCAACTGTACAAATCAATGCAAATGAGATGTGAATTGGGAGACTGTAATGAATCATCAGTTAACATGAAAATAAGAATGCAGTTGCTTGCGGTGCGGTGATCACAGAATTATAGTACAATGTGGGAATCTCAAACTAACCTGTGTATTTGGCCATTGCTGTGGAAGTACTCCAGGCCTTTCAGGACCTCTTTCAGAACTGTAGCGATGGTTGCTTCATCGAACACTCCGTGCTTGCAGTTAGTCACCTTCATTTTGTGTTTTATCACATCCAGGAGACTTCCTCCTTGAGCAAAACAAAATTGAAATTATCCTGTTGAGGGTGTTCAATCAAAATAATAGCCTTTAAATATGCTTACATTATAGGGCTACAAGTGGATGCAATATATCCTGATATATCCTATATTCTAAGTTGCAATATATCCTGATATTAAGAAAAAGCGCCAAATAAAACATACAAACATACATTCATTAAATATTTAAGTATATGGAGATAGATTCCAGACATTGCACATTCAAAAACTAAAAAAAGAGGTTGTAAAGTATCCAAATGTGAACACCTTCTATTTCTTGGTGGTAGGACCATGCAAGTGTTCGTTGTTGCACAAATTGGCAGTTCCTTCTGGGTTAGTACCACAACCTCACAGAAGACCGGCGTCAAGTGGAAGTATTACACTTCTACATTTCAACTGGTGAGTGAGGTAGCCGGGGCCCACTTTATTAAGAGGTGGCAATGCATTTGCAACCCCACGGGTGTTGCAAATGTCTATCGGCAGGCAGTCATCACTTAACATCAGGTGAGCCGCCAACTCATTTGCCACTTTCTCACATAGAAAAAAAAACCTAACATTCTTCCTTTTCTCACAACAATAACTTAAGTAAAATGTAAAGATGTATTCACAAACATTGAATAGCTCATATGCAGTGAAAGGCTTGATTACATAACAAACTTGGTACATGGCCAACTTTAAAAATTTCACTTACAATTTTCTAACCTTGAACCACATTTTACAGCCACAAAAATATACAACTATGTTAAACAGAATGTTAAATATACAATTTATCTAAAAAGATATTCACAATCATAACGTAAAAAAAGAAAATCATAACGATTTAATTTCTTCATGTTTAAAAGATGAAAAATATAAATTATTCTTGGTAAGGACTTTGGAATACATGTTAAAATACACACAAACATCACACAAATGCCATATGTATGACACTAAGAATTTGCACCATGTAATCACAATAATAAATACATGAATAGCTACATCTATACTAATGCAACCCCAAAGAATCTAAGAATCAACAAAGTACAGTAACTCAGTACCACAATTTTGAAAAGATGAACAGGCCATTTTTTTTTAATAGGACTAAGTGCCACAAATTTTATAAAATTATGGATATATCAACTACATATAACTCGTGGATAATAAACTTATAAAATTACAAAGTAAAAACATATGATCAATGATATAAGTTTTGTGTACCTTCAAGAAGCTTCAATACAAGCCAGAGTTCATCATTCACAACAAAGCTTGTATAGTATGTAACAACATTTTCATGGTTGCAGCTTGACATTGCCTAAAGTAATAAAAAATTAATTAAGTATTATATAGTAACAAAAATAATCTAACCAACATGAAAAAAGTACTAAATTTTCTGTTCATCATTACTTTGCTTTTTTCAAACCTCATATAATAAAATAATATGAGACAATTATACAGCATAATGAATCATTTAAATTCCTTAAATGATGTTCAAGGAAGCAAGAATTAATATCTGTGTCCAAATATATTAAAATGCAATGTTTTAACAATAGTGTATTGCACACCTGAATTTCCTTTAGAAGTTCATCCATAGAAGTGTTCCATTTTTCCAAGTTTATTCTTTTTATAGCACATTTTTCAGCCCGCGGCTTGCAAAGAGCGCCATAAACCACTGCTGTTGCCCCAGCACCTGTAGCAATTAACAAAAAATATAGATATAAGCCGAAAACTTATTTATATTAATAACTTCTATAATCAAACATTTCTTTAAATGTAAATTTAAACATGTAACAATTTTTTTAAGATATTCTAAAAACTATAAACACTATTCATCAATCGTTGTCCAGTAAAATATCAATACATAAATGTTTTTAAATACACAACCATTTGATATAAGATAATAACAATAAATTTTTCAAAAACATTGCTTTACATCGCACCCCTCTTTATTTTTTTAACATCATAAATTTTTTACTTCCGTCTGTTGATTTATTTACAATGTGTTCTAACATTTAGTATGGATATACGAAACACGTAAATTCTGCGGTAAATTGATACATAACCGAGTTTTAGATATTTTACATGCTTATCTAATTGATTAAAAAAAAAACTGCAAAACACTTGCTATTATTCAACACTTATTCACTTAAATATTCGCAAGATATTTGAATAAATTAAGTTAGTAAAAGGAAATGCTGTCATTTCTCGGATTTAAATTTTGACAGCTGTAATATTTTAAATTTTAAAACACTCTGCTCTTCTTATTTAAGCACCGATGTATGAACGGACAATATAATATTATAACACAAAATTTAAACTAAATTAAATAACTACTCACCAATGACATCTCGTAATTCATAATTTTCCTCGCCGTTAGGCCACGGACAAGACGCAGTTGCAGTGACCGCCATTTTGCGAGTGAACATATTTCCTATGCCGCCAGCTGTTGAGCTTATTGAGCATGCGGCTTTCATGTACGATGAAAACGCTGATAGTTGGCGATCACATGCTCCAAATGATTTCTATAATATTTTGGAAATTATAAATTATTGTTAATTATAACAATTGACGGAAAATGCAGAAAACATGGCTTTTAAAAACTAAACCGTAATTTTTTCTAACCTGGTAATACTAACGCGTATGGATTTTTCATTTTTGTAATTCAAAACATGTAAAGCTGTTATAAAATAATATCCAATGCTCCAATTTTGTTCTATAATGAAAATTTGAATTACTAGAGTATTAGCCCCATTAGTATAAAAAAACGAAGAGCGTAGGTTTATTATCCTTATTATATAATAAGAAGTAAGAACATAGTATAAAACAAAGTTGCCCACGATGTTTGTATACTTAGATCTTTTAAACTACGCAACTTATTTTAATACGGTTTTAGGCAGTAGATGCGTGATACATGCGGGAGGTTTGATTTGTAGTACATGCATATTTTAGTATAGAAAAGCCGAAAAAATCAATATCTACATTTCACCTGTGTGAAACACAGACGGGTCTCTAGTTAACTATAAACTATGAACATGCTACATTAATTGTGAAATTTTAAGATTTTAAGCCATCATTATGTTGGACAAAATTGTTACCGGAACTAGAGTTTCACATCCGAAAATATTTAATTTATCTGATTCAATTCATATGTTTAACTGTAAGTTGTACAATATGTATCTTGTGAATTAATAAACCTTTAACTGGAACAATATGTTTGATCTTTGTAGAAAGTGAGTCAACAGGTAAGTACCTAGTAAGTCGTCAGAGTTAATTCCATACATCTTTAAACCTATGTACGATTAAAAACATTTCATAAAATTCAAATGTTACTGTTTAGATATTAAAACTGTAGGTAGTTTTGATATTAGTACTATTAATGTCATTTTCGATTGTGAAATGTATACTTATGTGTTAACGTATATTTAAAAAAAATATTATTAAACCTGTTATTATAATCCCTACCTTAACATAATAAGTAACACAAACTTAGATAAATAATGTGTGTTTTCCTCAACCTTTTTTGGGAACTGGGTAAACGGAGATTGCGAAACCCATGTAATAAAATAAAGAAAACTAATATTTTATAAGTCTTATGCTAACCGTACCGGTAAGCGTTTACACTCGCACATGAACGCACGTGTAATGCACAAATATGATTCAACCTTGAAGAAGTTCCTCGTGTAAGTCGTATCAGAATACTTGGATCCCTAATTATATTATATTTCATTGGTATAATGATTATTTTTCGAATACAGCGTTTCGCTTTTGCGGATTTCTCACGCAAAAAACCCACACTCAAATTACATATATGCAACTTGTTATATGATGTATTAGACTTTAAAAGCTAGATATGACGTTGATAATATGAGCGATCTCAATCTATCCTATCAAGAAAATGTACTTTTGTGTGATCATATACAATGAAAAAAATGGCACTGAATAATTATTATTAAATTCGAAAACTTTCTATATTCCATACGTTGTTAACACATCTTTTTAAAGAAAATTTAGTTTAATAAAGTAAAATCCTCTGCCGTGCTGAGGCCTTCTCTGTATAAAGGACGTAGTCTATGACGTGACCGCACATATTTTATTAATTTTTGTTATTGTTTCGAAAATATTGTGCAGATTTCCTTATGATGTTTTTCTTCACCGCTAGGCACGAGATAAGAAAAATTAACAAATTCGTTGGTACTGGCACCGGGAATGGAACTCAGGTTGCTCGAGTATACTAAACTTAAGAGAACGTTTTATTCTTATCACACATTTTTTAAAATTTTATTTATTTTGTAGAAATTTATATATATTTTTAGAAATGCTTGTTGTAGTTTTTGACAAGGTTTAATATAAATTTAAATATTAAAAAGTTAAATCAAGTTATACCTTTATCCAGTGACAAATAAAACAATTTACCATTGTATTGCCTTTATCATTGTATAGGTATAAACCGTTGTTACCATAAAAGGAAGGGTGAATGGAAATATAGCATTTTGAAGAAAATTTTAAAGAAAAGATGAATAGAACATTATTGATCTTTTTTTTTCTCAAACATGTAAGTACCTGAAAACTATTTTTCGTGTAATCTTCATCAAATCCAAAACGAAACCCCAGTTCTAAAATATTTTAACAATGAGAAAAAACTAATAGAATAAAGACGATAGTGCAGGAATCAGAAACTTGCAATATTGACGTAATAAATATAACTAATATTATTACGAACTAGGTATTCGTATCGTATTTCAGAAGTTAGTCACTGATTCTATATATTGTGTATTGCTTTAGTGTTGTTTATTAGCTATAAATACATGAAACTAAAAAAACAACAGAATGTACTATAATAATTTGAAAGAGAATAACAGGCTTAAATGGATTGAATGTGCAATAACAATAATAAATATATTTTATAAAATATTACGTGTTACAAATAATAAGGATTACATTTGCGAAATGTAGTAATAATGTTTATATTTATTTATAAACCCAACCAGATGAAAAATAAATAAATTTACACCATATAAATGTAATACAAAGATATTATCACATTTATTTAGGACGGGGCCGTGATAATTCCTACAATCTACAATCTTCTTTCTCTTTAAGATCATCCTGATTATTGAAGTCCGATCATTGAACATAGAAGCTAATTTTTTATGAGTATGTGAAATATGAAATGGAACATGTGTTCTTAGACAGCGTGTCGTTACCACCACGACAATAAAGGAACACACGTCTAACGCTATTTGCCAATAATCATACAAAAATTGTAACGTTAAAAAAATTCATATTTAAATGTTTTTTTTTTCAACCAAACTACTTAAGTAAAAAAGAAACAAAGTTTGTAACACCCTATACAACTACAATTGACTGATTCATACATTCAGAGACTTTCTTTTTCATTCGTTGCCACAGTGTCGCATTACTAGCCTCTCCTTCTAGCAGTATGTTTTGTCTCTTTTAAATTCATTCAACCTATTCATATGCTTTGTGACCTTTACAAATGAACTTTACGTTACAGTTTTATACGTAAGGTGTTCTAAAATTCTTTGTTTTGGAAAATTTAATAATAACTGTATAAATATTGTTGAAGTCTAAAGAATGGAAATGCTTAATACAATTTTAAAAAGTTATCCTATATATGTGTGTCCATTTATTGTCGCGGTTGTAACGACACGCTGTATATACAGGGTGGCTTTTCTGAACGTGCCCAAATTCACAAAGTAGGTTAAGACTCGGTAGCATAATCATTTATTGAAATAAAAAGTAACTTTTTTTTAAAAAAAATTGCCATTTCATTCCTTAGAAAACAGAACTTGTTGACAATGAGGTATTGATTCATAAATGCGTCGTATACTTTTGAAACGTATTTGTGTGAGTGTTATGAATGATCGCTCGTAAAATAAGAGTTGCCCATAAATCACGCACTTTTTGAGATAAGTTTAAATGAATCTATTTAATTCATTGCGAGTGATATTTATCATTTTCTTACATAACATTATTTATGTCTAGAATTTAATAAAAAAAAATGGATACACTTAAAAAAGCCTCTCTGTATATATATATATATATATATATATAATGGATACACTTAAAAAAGCCTCTCTGTATATATATATATATATATATATATATATATATATATATATATGTGTGGAAACAGTTGAATGTATGTATAGAATGTATGTACTTAAACAAAATTAAAGATGTACATGAGTTCACGACGGTGCAAATACGATACTAGTACATATAAATACTTATACGAACTGTATGATATAGTAATAATAAATACTTACATTAAGTACATCGATATTGTTATTGTAAAGCATAATAGTGGTAGTTAGTATATCGTTAGTTAATTTGGAAACGGCACCGAGAAATACCTACCATACATACCTGCCTGAATACTCCGCTCACACCTGGCGTTATAATCTCCTTCCGAATGTTGCTGTAAGGAACGAAAATAGGATATGATTAAATTCCGATTGAAGCCTCCAGGATATTTCATTTGGCTATTACTCAAAAATTAAAATTGAACAGTAGCTCTTATAATAAATACGATGCATTATAAAATTGGTCAATGTGTGGTTAAATAAATCACGTCACTGCAACGATAAGACAAATCTAATGACAGTGGTTAAAATACATACATAATTATTTCGGTAAAACTTGATAATGGCTCAATAACTAGAGCACCAAATGTTGATAAAATAATGCTTTTAGGGTCAATAATAAACAAAAATTACCGTTGTAGAACGGTCGTTCATGGTACATCTTTTTTCCTTCTTTCATGTAAAAGGTTGGATAGCGACAAGGCTTGATCTATTAAACAAGTGTGCCCCGTCTACCTCACGCACCAGACGAAACGCAAAAATATAATACTTTCACTTCACGCCGGTCTTCTGTGAGGCCGTGGTACTGAGCACCCGTGGTACCCACACGAGCCTGCCATTTTTGTGTGTTTGTGTTCAAAATTAAAGTAAAGTAACAGTCTATACATGACCCACTGCTGGGAAAAAGCCTGCCCTGTACAGATTTAGCCAGAATTCACACGACCCTACTGCGGATTGGCGGACTTCACATATCCCCGAAATATTTGTTTTTTTGTTATTATTTAAAAAATGTACAGTTTTCCAAACGATGTTTTCCTTCAGCGCTGAGCTCCTGATAAGTGCCGAGATTTGAACTCAGGTTTATGGAGTGTATAGAATTTAAAACGGACACCTGAAATATCACGGCTTTGTGAACAGTGACTCTGGATAAATACGTCAACATTAAGACGTTGATCATCAAAAATTCGCGCATAAAACCCACTTGAAACTTTTTTTAGGATAATATAACATTTGACAGAATTTTTGAAGCTATTAAGCTAAATCTAATAAAATGAATGAAAATAAAAATGAGAAACTATAAATATAGCCTACATTATATACGAACAAAAGGTATGCCTAACAATGACAAATTTCAATTAATTGTAAAGTAGAGTATAGCAAAGAATCATTGAAAATGTCAATTTATTCGGCGACGGTTAAGAGTGTAGGCATTATGCTCATTCCAAATTCTCACAACAGCTAAATTCAGGCCAAGATTAGTTTACATAGACAGTGTTTAAAAGATTTTGATAACTAATGGTCTTGCTTTGAACTTTGTGATAGACATGAAATGAGATGTTTTTAATAATTACAGGACAATTCATTGTGTTATTTAGAAATTTGTGACGATTGCAGAGTGCATCTTAAATAACTCAAGTCGCTTAGTTATAACTGAACCGATGAATAATAATCCCTTTTGATAGAATTGTCAAAAATACTTCATGAATTTACACTACGAAATGGACTTCAAATAACGCAAGCATTTACTTTATGATTTCGAACCAATGTACTGTATAAAATAATCTTAACGTATTCGTTTTCAAAATCCTATCAAAATTTATGAAATGTACTTATTTTGTACAGGGTTTGTCACTAAAAGAGATTTGTCTGTTTATGCGAAAACTAAGATCTTTGAATGCTATAGACTTTTTTGACTATTGGCGGTGAATTGCGTAGGAAGTCTCAGTAGGTACTTTTTTCCTAGTGAACCGTAAGTCAAACTATTTGTCATTTAATTCCACCTCATTAATTTTACATCGATTATTGATCTATATTAATCTAAATCATTTGAAATTGGCTGATATGGATGGCTGCAAATAACAGAAATTGACAATGCAATATTTCTGTAGTAGCACTATTCATGGATAATAAAAATAGGATCGGTTCTAGATAAGATCCTTGTGGAAATCCAGAAAAAACACAATAACTTGGTAGCAGAGACAAATTCTAATTTAGATTTTTTTTCGAGGTAGGGTAAACCAATGTAAAAAGGATCGGTGCAAGGAATCTTATGTGAGATGGAAAATTGTTCTCGTATAATATTGTATTTAATGAAATTAATTGAGACGTCTATACTGATAAAACGTAACTTGCATTGGCTCTTTACAGCAGCATTGACAAAATCTGTACCACAAATGTACATATAATGTTATTGTATTTTTATGTCGTATTAATCGATACAGATCTGGTGGAAAAGCTGCGGCACTGCAAACACTGGAACCCCGCCTCGGGCGGTTTTTAAAAAAAAGGCATAGAACTACCGACGAATCACATTTAAAACACAGATTAAACACTAACCAATGTAGGTTTGCTTGTTTGGAAGTTCTGCGAAAATCTCCCAGAGACGGCTTCGAACTTAATAGTAAGAACCTTTTCGGTGCGCGGTAGTCCGTCGACTGTATTGTGTACGTCCCCCGATATAGAATACGGGGTCGGTCTGACGTGCACAAATAAGTTGCAACGTATACACACGGGAGTATGATATAATAAAATAACCACTTACCAAGGCAAAACTGTCGTATAGCAGTAAAGGTTAAAACGCAACAGCCACCCTTTATTATACTTAATTTGTGATCACAATGTGATGAATATGAGATAACATAAAAAGTAATGCAATAACGAACCAGTTTGAAGATTCATCAAAGGCCCTTTATTATATTATTCAGTCTGCTTTTTGTATCCATGAGAATGGCATAATAGTGTCGATAAATCTCCGATTAACGGAATGTTTGTAAATAATTAATCTTTTAAAATCAATCAATTTGTCACTCAACAATTTAAATATCCGAAGAAATTATTCAAATTATGAGAATCCGTGGCTATTTCCTCTTCGTGTCCATTGTCTTCATTAAATTAAAAAAATAATGTTTAAATGAATAGCTTTCTTTTTAGGGATTATGAATGGAATGTCTAAAGCTGTGTCCATTCGTATAATGAATAATAAGTCATGTTTTTTATTTTCATCAACCTAATCAAGCCTGAGATTTTATCAATTTTGAGAGTTCGTCGTGATATTGCCCGGAACAATCAGAGTAAGCCGCTAATATTGGGCGCTAATCTGGTTGCTGTTAAAAATATCAGTTAATTTAGACAATTGAGTTTACTGTCGCCACATCATAATATGGATATACCTTTGTTATTCATATTTTTGTGTCTGCAATATACGATTTCAAATCTCGTCGAGAAACATTCCCAAAATTTAAAAACCTTGCTTTTTGCTAATATTTATGCTTTCAGTCCTTAGACTATCAAAGCTTCATGGAACATAGAGCTCATGGGTTTTTTTTAACTCCCACGAGTTTAATAAGGCGTTGAGAAGGCGGTGAAAACCCCTTCAATACATGTACATGAACGTTGACATCTTGTGCATGAGTTGCGTTTGTTCGTCTACGACCACAGCGAGTGCTAGACGAGAACGAACTATTTGTGCTTACTGTCACTATGTATGTGTTATACACGACAACACTATTGTTGTCAGATCAGACTACCGGTGGTTCCCGAATACTTTGCCCGTTTCTCGAACGGGTCGATAAGGGTCTTATGCGGATGACGTTTCCGAACGGTCGCATTAGGGTTCCAACGGTAATTTGCCGCGTTTACCACCAGGGGATTGGTACGAATTTCAGTTGCCTCGAAGGACTGATTTCATTATCTCCCTGAAATAACGTCGGGACCTGCAATCGCTGTGCTGGTATACGTGTTGTTGATTAACACCATTCACTGGTTGCAATGTGGATGAGTTATTTTAAACTACCTAAAGTTTCTTCAGGTGTGTCTGAGGAGAACGCGGAGAACGGTTTTTTTGCAGGATGAGCCACTGTTGGCCTCAGGGGCCTTTACAGATTCGCCGGACTTGAGGTGACCGGGCGCTCAGGGCGCATAGCCTGAACCTCGGCGCAGGCATGGAATTCATCATACTATTAGTATACAAGCTTTATTATGTTAGAAGTTAAGGGCTTGCTTGCAGAGTTCGCCAGTCAGCTTGATAGGAACGCAGATCTGTTCTTAACGTTTTCAATTGTGTGTTAAAATGACATTCTGAAGTCGAAAGTTACCCTGCGGCGATTGGCGGTTCTGACGAGATTTCTAAATTGACTATGATTATATTCAGATTTATTTTACTTAAAAATTTATGAATAATTTTCCTTGTGTTTACGTGAATACTACTTGTTATGCATTGCACTGTCCGTGGCCGGGCAATTTTAAATTAGTGAATTGTGATAAGCCGAATATTATTGAACCTGCACTTTCGCAAATATTTAATAACAACATATTATGCGACATTCTTTCTCACGATAATTCCCTTCGAGTCCATTCCACCATTTTCCAATAGTTAATTCCGGGATTAACGTCCCTATTTTATAAAATCACTGAAATTGTGACGAACAGTGATAATTCGGGATATAAAAGAGCCCCCAAAACAATATCCTTTCATTAACGTTCTGACCCTGCCAGTTAGCGCTCCGGTCTTCACGAATCTTGACAAAATGGCTATTGCCAACTTCGTGATGAAGGTAAGTAAATGCGCACATTTTACATTAACCTGCTCGTTTAAAATACATTGACAGTGTTGCAGTATAATCTTATTTTACAAGATGCGACATACATATAAGCAGAATATCATTATCTTTAATGTCGTAAATATTATTTTAATATAATTATTTTATATTATATTATTTTATATAATATTATTTTATTATAATTTAATCTATTAACATTTAGTTTATGAGGTATTTGTATGTAAAAGAGGTCACAGTTTTTTTTTGTACAACGATATTGACATTTACCACAATTCATCGAAATACTTTTTATTGATTAATACTTATTTCTACGATATTGTAATAACATAACGCCGGTGACCACAGTGCTGAAGACACAAAAAGGCCTCTCGGTAATCTCAGTTCGTTCCCTACCAATTAGGTAACTAGTTTAAATAATTCATGCAGCCGATGACAATAGGCCGATAACAACATTTCTCCCCGAATGAAAAAAATACCTGCTGTTCTTTTTTCATTCGAGGTGAAATGTTAGAGTCTATTTCACGAGAATTTCTTTGTACAATTCCCATGAAGATCGAGAAGATTTCCAATTAATTTGTTAATAAGTTATTTTCTCCAATAAGTACAGAAACATCGCGCTATACTGTGCTTATAAAACGTATATATTTTAATTGCTGACGCTTTGGTGGAACAATATTACAAAAAGTTTATATCGGCTATGTACATCACACATCGAGCTTTGGTTTTATAAATTAATATGTTTTATTTTTTATAGCTTTTTATAGCTCTTTCTATATTATTTTTTAACATAATATCTTATTGCGTAATATTTCTACCGAGTCACAACGAATGAACAATTCAGCGATACTTGTAGTGTTAGATGTCACAATTCATATTTTGTATCGCACACGCTAACAGGATTTTATCACATTAACGCTGTCACTTTAATATATTGAATTCATACGGTGCTTCAAAAATTATACTATATATCACGTGAAAAAAGTCTACGGTGAGCCATTAAATATAATCATTAATCACTATAATTGTAAGTAAAAAGGTTTAATCGCCAGTTGTCTTCTCGTTTTCTTTTCCTCGATATTCTATTTTCTTTTTATACCCTATATCGGTGGTAGCGTCTGGAAATATTATTCACCATAGCTCATTTGGGTCATCGTCGCCCATCGTCCAAGAAATCCTTTTTTTTTATGGGAAAATTTAACAAGCGAGCAGGCGGTTTCTGATGCTATGTGCGTACACCTGGCGGCTGGCAGAGGCGTTGCCATCCATTTTGGGTCCCGGCTGCCACACTCACACGACGAAACGCAAAATTATATACTTCCACTTTACGCCGGTCTTCTACCGGCGGGGAATTCCCGAACGAGCCTGCTCATTCGTGCAACAAGCAGAAGCTGCAGGGTTGAACAAACACTAACTGCCAGAATAATGTTATAACCTTATTCTGTACGTGCAGGCCTTTCACGAACGCAAAATATATGGGTGAAGTATATAAATGTGGGTCGGATGAAGCACAATTATTTTGGATCTTCTGATTGTTAATGGAATCTACGATCAGACTCTCAATGCTCGTTCGATTCAGAAACTCAGCCGAAAAGAAAAAAATCATATAGGTAGTACTAAAGTTGACGAAAAATAAGTGCCCAATATAGTTACGTTACGATATACGTTAAGATATTCAGCTCAGATAACTCAGAATCATTTGGTGTTAATAATTATAGCTGCCAAGCAGCCGTGGCACTCAGTGTCATCTTTTGTTAAGTCTAGAGTAGAATAGGAAAGTATCTCACCCCCCCTTGACGCTTTTCACTCTGAACGGTCTCTTCTCCGGTACCGGCTCCATCCTGAAAACGCCGCTGCACGTCTTCCTCTTCACCTCCATTGTGGCAGCAACTCGATTACCACGCAACTTCAATGGTTTGCTAGCATTGGCTTCCTTCGAATGGCGTTTCCCTGTAAAGACGTTCACTTAGTTATCGATAACATTAACAACACGCAACGTCTGTGATCGTAGTTTGACAACTAAACCTTTGCATTTATAATTTATCCGCGTTAAAGATGTACGATTAAAAGTTCAGCTTTTCAATTGTAGTCACATATGGCAGGGCTATTTGTTAATACGCTTCGTTACCTTCCCTCGAGTGCCACGGTGACTTTTGTATTTATTTGTAATTTATAATAAACGCCAAGTGTTGCCTTGGGTTTATAACTAGAACTGTACTAGTAGCTTCATTTATTCAGCACTGTGGATACGTATAAGCTTCCTTGGATATATTTTTTAACTAATACCTAGTGTACCTATAAGACTATTAATATATAAACTCATACCACGTGTCGGTTCAATAACTTTCCTTTCATTTAGTGCAACATTTGTAAGAACTACGAAACAAATACTACTGAAACTACCTAGAAAACATGTTTTGTGCATAACACAACATGTTTTCTAATACCGTATCCTCTCTTACGTTGTTGACATGATAGATTGTTTTACTATCGTAAGTAAACTCGCTAAGAACTACCCTCAAGCTTTGACTTGCTGCTTTTGAGTGCTAAATATTGGATCACAGCCCAATAGAAAGAAAAGTCTAAGCCAGAAAAATTGCAAGTTCTGTCCCTGTTTATTGGTCAGGATTGTAGTACAACGAAGGTAAAGGCATTGAAATAAAGGCAGTGTAACAATGGAGACAAATTTGCATGCAAATCTCAGCGTATGTTTCTATGTTTATCTAAAACATTCAGGAACCACATTGAGAAATGTCTGTTTATGTTAATACGCTTCTCTGTAAAAAATTATATTTGAATATCAAGAATATGATAGACAAAAAAAGCGTTGCAGTAAAGCACCTCTGATAAAGATAACATTAATAACAACACGTTATACTCACGGCAGTGATCCTTAACGGGTGGAAAGAGTTTATAAATTGACTAAGTGTAACGCCAGTCTATGACGGTTTCCGAATCAATGAGACGGTTATAATTATGTTTCAATGAAAAGTTATGGCAACAGCAATGATGCTTGAAGTGGTCGGGCAACTTTTCAACTGTATACTGACTTTCGCAGTTTATCGCTTTAACGAAGGATACGGGAATGGTGAACGCAACGAAATACGCAACAACAAGCGGAGACTATATGCATAATACTGCATTCGTTCATACAATCTGCGACGCGTTTCAAGGCGACTGCCCAAGCAAAACAGCGACACACAGTGGTACCGGAATTATTCCATAATCCTTTGACAGTCAATTAAACGATTAGAATGAAATTGATCCCGTTAAACGTCCCGACCTTATTAAGAACCTTAATTAACAGCGGCGCACAAATCATCGTGTTACAAGACAACCACGCGCCATTTGAATAAACAATCACAAAAACATTGGCGGTGGGGGATTCTTGAAAAAAAGGCACTTGATAAATCTCAAGACGAACCAGTGAGCACCCCCAATACTTAATCCGTCTATTATTCACGTTATCTTACCTTTGAACGATGTTAAAACCGAATTTTTGTTTCGTACCATGCCTGTGGGTCTTTCGCGCGGATCCGCTTCCAAAGTAAAGCGTCGCATGTTCCCCTCCGGTATTAAGGACGGCTGTGCCGACGGAGCGCGACCGAAGCGAAGTAGGTTGTGGTCCCTCGGCGGGTCGGACGTGTTTGACATTAGAGGCGTAGCGGGCCGCGTGCCACTGGGCGAAGTGGCGATGCAGAGGTCCCAAACTCATTCAAATGCAATCTCAACGAGAGCGAACGCGCCAAAGCAGACGTCGGGGCACCTAAATGGTAGGCAAACCTTTACAATACGTAAAGATCGTATATTTCGATCATTTCAGATCTATTCAGTTTCACAATCAGTGTGTCGGGCTATTAGCGCGCTCAGTAGCGTTAAGTTTGTTTAAAGGACTTGGCTTATAGGCCCACCTAGTAGTTTTAATACGCAACCACGTTACAGTAGTGATTTGAATATACCGACAAATATTTTTCCTGAACTAAGAAACATACCAGTCTCATGCAAGTAACTGATAAAGATCGTTCGATATACGTCTCGTTCGAACTGTGTGCATGACGGTTATGTCATGATTCACGATGCTTCTTTAACAGACCTGATGAGTTTGAATTTCGAAAATGTGCATTCGAAAATTGTCTCTTCGTGTTTGTTGTTTCTTAGTGAAATTGGCGTGTTTGCGACGCCTGCCACGGCGGGCGGAGTGCGCTGTCGCGGTCCCGCCGGATGCCAATCAAAGCGCGCGCCAGTGGCGACTAATCAGCTACTGCGCGAAGTGAGACGGTCGCCCGCGCGGGCGCGTCATCTGATCACTCGTCGGGGCCGCGGCGAACGCGCCGTATAATGTCCACAAATCCACAATGGACCCGAATTCCGACTTGACGTGTACACGTGACGGTGTTATGTAAATAAACATACTGTCGCTCATTGCCGTCGACGATTGTCATTGAAGATTCGACACGACGATTCTGTTTGAAGTAATCGTAAACTGGATAAATATTACTCTTCGGGAGTGGTTTGTTGACACCACCTGCCTGGCTCAACCCCACGGACGACGCAACGATATCAAAACATCCCTAAGAAGCGACGGACACATCATTCCATTACAGCCAAAGATCATGCCAAAATCGTGTCATCACGATCGAAGCGTTCTTATCAAAGTCAACCTATTAATAACAAATTCATGAATGTACCTACAAAATGCTTTCTAAGCCGAAGGACTTCCTTGAATGTTGATTGTTTTTCATTGTAGCACTTTTAGTCTTTATCGGTTGTAGGATTTAATTGGAATAAAACCAAACCATTGTGTTATTTGGTTCCAAGTTTATAATTAATACCGCATACACTTACTAATTACTCAGGAGCTCTATAATGTAAAATAAAAATTAACCAGGAACGCTCTCTTAGCAAAGATATCTTCTCAAATAATGTTTAGACAGAACTCAACCGTGGCATCGCTACTTGAAAGACTGAAATAATCTTTACAAAACACAATGTAGCGGCGGAATTTGCTGTAACATTTCAGTAACCGATTCGAAACGTTTGCGGAAGCCAATTTTGACTTCATACTTCGAACGAACAAGCTATTATGTAAAACACGACGTCACGCCACGACAATCATGAATTGTCAATGTTATATCGTTCCTAACATAAAGATGTGTAGTTCGTGAATAATAAGTTCACTATTTTATTAATTTTATAGTTTACAGCTGCATTTTAGCTATTTAAAATAAACTTAATATATAACATAGAAAATCGGGAGATGTAGGTATATACTCGTTCATTTATATATCTTTGGTGTTGAAAACTGTTTTTATTACTGTTTTTAATTTTCGTAGTACTGGTTGAAGTCCGAATACTTTATTTATGGTTACTCACCGTACCAGATTTATGCAGTGCCGAATGACACTGTACACCTAGGACAATTACATTATTGGTTCTTTCCGCTGGTATTTTTAGAATTATTTATGACGCTGTGATTCTGCCCGAGTTAAAAATAACAACACTATGATCTATAGTGTTAACGTATGCTTTTGTTTATTTTTTTATTTGCGTTACCATTGTACAGATAGACTCGGTCTTTTTTCTCATTGCTCCGTGCAATTTTCAAAAAAATAAGAATTGACTCATAAAAACCTTAATTAAAGTTATGCTACGGAAAATAAGTGCATAACGTTGTAAGCGCGTTACTTCTTGGCCCATGATATATACAGTTACGTAAATAGTTATTTAATTTAAATTGTCACACTTATACGTAGATATGATACATTTATCTGCAATGGCTGCCCGAACATTTTTTATTAGTACAATAATCATACCTGTCATAGAGATTTTTTAAAGTTCCACTCGAGTTATGATAATAACTGACTCTAGTTTCTGTAAAAATTCGATTGTTTACGTAAAAGAGTACCCACAGCCGTACATTTTTGTAACATTTTCATTTTTCGTATACTAGTATTATAATATATATACTATATTATATATATATATATATATAATTAAGTAATACTAATTTACATGTACCTTTAAAAAACACGAATACACACACAACAACGTAGTCACACATATGCAATTTTAATTTACCATAAATTTAACCGTAATATTATTCTGTTTCAAATTGACAGGAATACTGGTTTAATTCGTATTGAGGATTCAGGGACTATGTGTCATAACGTTATTTTTATCAATGACTTTATGTTCTTGGTTCGTATTTTATATATTCAACCTAAATTCTCATTTATCCGAGGCATATATGAATATACCTACATATCTAAATATTAACACATACATGAAATACAATAACATTTATAAAAGACATTGAATATATACCTACTCATTATCTTTATCATCCTCCTACCCTTATCCCACCTAGGTGTGATTGGCAAAAAATGTGAATCGCGATACAAGTGGTTTTGGCCGTGGTTTCTACGACCAGCCGCCTGCCTGGCGTCAACCCTCCTTGGGAATCTAACGCCCTGAACCGGAACAAATAATTATCTGTGGCTCACAAAAACATTTGTCCCGTGTGGGAGTCGAACCCACGACCCCAGACGCCGAAGTCAGTAGCTTATTAACGGCGCCACCTAGTGATCGAAATATATACTCACCATAGCAAATAAAATAATATAAATAAAACGTTAAAGTCATTAAAAAAGATAAAACATATAAATTTGATATACCAATATCGATGGATCCGTACCAGTCAATTGTTATAATAATCTTTTTCTTGCAAATATACTAACAAATTTAAGACGGAGGGTGTATAATATATGAGGTAACATCTCTCAAAGCACTGAGGATGGCCACGCGATGTCACCGTTTCTCGAAGACTGCCAAAACAAACAGATTATGGCCGCCTTATGGCAAGGGAGCAATCTCACATTAATAAAATAAATAGAAAACGATTTCCATTGCAGACGGCGTTAATCGGAATTTTCCTTGCGCCGATGTCGGCGTCGGAGTCATCTCAGGAATTCATCGAGCACGTGCTGAAGATACCTAACCCCGACAGGGTGCTGAACTCGGTGCTCGGGCGCTTGGAGAGGAACCGCCAGTACGCGCCAGTGAGGTCCAGCCAGTACGAAGAAGAAGAGGACTGCGAAGACCCTTCAGTGGTGACCCATCCATTAATAATGTTTCCGGTCATTCCTTCATTGTACTATTGAAACCGTATACAAACTTAATCCACGTTATTAATAACGAACACCTATAGCATATTGGCTACACGTGAATTGAAATTGATTCCAAATTAATTCAAAACAATGTCATACGCATTTTTTATATTCGGGTAATATCCAGCATTCGAATCGATAACAAAAATAAACATTTCGACAATATGTGTAGTCCGTCAAGCGAGGTCACGGGGTGGAATGTGCAATAAAACCCTCTGTACAGAGGAAGCCTTTGCCCAGCTGTGGGTCAATATACAATTACATTGATTTATTTTACTTATAAAACACAGAGCTTTAAAATACTCATTAAACCCTCCAACCGTCCATCTATCGCCATAGAACTATCGTGACTCAATTTCCTACACGGAACTCTTTATATGCAATGCAAAACCAATAATTGAAAGTGACGGACCAAATGACGCGCATTTGATTATATCGAACGAACAGAGTTCTCCTTGGAGTGCAAAAGGAACGGACACTAAAAGGGTCACTAATTCAGCGGTTGACCGAGCAATTGTTGCATAACCTCGTTTAGACTGTCAAGTAGCAACAGACGATGAGGACGTACCAAACATCGCTTGGTACATCGGGGGAACAAAAGATCTACAGTAGGCCTTTCTTTATTAACCTCATACAATGGGCGGTATAGGAAATCCACTAAAATGGATTCCACAAAAACCACTTTTTTTATTATAATCATTACCCATACATAGGATAACTGTACGTCTGTACTGTAAGGACGTTTGACACACTTAATTTTCACGTGGACAAACTCCCAAATCCGAAACAATTATTTGTTGGTTACAAAAAATATCGAGGTGTTTTGTATACTGTTTTAAATATGATAAAGATACTTAAAGGGTCTACTATAATTATTTGAAATCATGTATGTACTGAAAAAGGAAGCCATTTAGTTGCTTACAAAAAATTATTTTACAAATTTAAGACAGAGTGAATACATTTTTGTTATAAATTGCCAAAAACGAGATTTAACAATTCATGATGGCTATGAGAAACGCGTAAAAACTCACATACTTAGCAGCTGAGAATCGAACAGGCGATTTCGGATCATGAGCACAGACTATCACCCTGTCACTAGGCCAATACTGCATCGCAAACTGTTAAAACTACCGCCAAAAATATTGGCCTTGTCGCGTAATCGACCACGCTTCAATGGGAACGCTCGCAGTTCGCTCAATGATATTCAACCTTGTCACCTCGCTTGTATTTCTTGACTCAACTTGTTCTTAAGTACTTCATGTAGACAATAGCACAGCAGCATATTTCATTATTTAGATATCTTAGATTCAAAAAACTGACACACCTATACTTGCAGATAGATGAGAGATAGATACACAAACTGTAATTGAACGTACCGCCATTGTAATACGTCAATAAAATTATTGATTAATATAGGGTGTAAAGAACTAAAAGTAGAACTCGACGAATAATAACACTATTTTAAACTGCAGGATGAACCCTTCCCACTTATCTAGACAACAAAAATATAATGTAAGTCCAAAGCTTTTGTTTGAAAATAAACTTTTAACTATTTCTCATTAGTGAGGTGCATTGCTTCTGAGAAGCCTACAGCTCCTGTTTACAAAAAAAAAATGAAGTAAATTCAAAGAAAATATTTGTAACCCTTAGTGAGAGTCAAAGGACGACTCATATTAAACGTAAAGATGAAGGAGATAAAGAAAGTCGAAACTAGCATACTTGCTTACTATGTTAAACTCTAGCACAATAATAAAATCAAACAGGGATATGATCAGATATTGTTGCAACGCAGTCAATCTTGCTTTTAAACAGAACTTCAAATGCAATACATGGCGACAATCTCGTCGCTATGTAATCGGCGTTATATACTCGTACATATTTACTACACGCATGTTCTATTATCGAAGAGAGGATCTATTTTTAAAACAATGTTACCTCCTCTTATATAATGCTTATTATATTAAATAAAATAATAATGCTATATATTATATATAATAATAATGCTTATTTTGTAAATTAGTACACACCGCACGGCGTGTTCGATAATTAACTAAGATCCATTTTGTGTACTAACATTTGTAAAAAAAAATGGCAACAAAAAATGTACATGTAGATAATAAAAGAACAAATGAATCAAATTATTCGCCCACGTAAGCCATCTATCTCATTCCAATGTCTCAAGTAAAGAATCGGTAGATTTTACTAATAGGTCAACTTAGCCGGTTTATGATATAACAAATCTACAGGAACTATCTCTAGAGAGGTCATAAGCGTCTCTACACTGGACCCTTCAAATCTATCTCAAAACAGTAACAGTTAAAAGAACAAATGTAGAACAACTTTTCAAATAAATCACGTATATTTCGGAAAAACTATTGCAAGCGACTGCAGTACTTACCTATGTTTTGCAGTATAATCATTTAAAATGTTAAAATGTTATAAGGTAAACCACCTACCCGCTCGCTTGCTATTTTCTACCAAAAAAAAGGATTTAAGATTTATTAACACAAAAGTTCCTCTCGATTTTCCGGTACCTTGCTCAGACTTTCCCAATCTTAGTAATAGCTCATTTTCCTGCGTTAGTAGGTTGATATTTATGCAACAATTAATAGATGTGATGATACTGGACTGTTTATAAACAACAATGGAGAGAAAAGACAGAATTGAACTTCGATCGATCCATCAAAAGGACTAATAAGCGTCTAAAACTAAAGGAGGTTCTTTGGAGGTTCTTTGAGGTTGAAGAACAAAACGTAATAATACTAAAAAAATGTTAACAACTTCTTGTTTAGCGCAATGCCAAGCATTTTCTACGCATGCAATAAAAACATCAGCATTAGAGGCATAATGAAATCATTTTACGAACCTCCCGTCCAAAGTTCCATCGCAAACGGTTAGCGAATAATGGAATTGCCGCCAAAATATTTGGAATACAGAAACAACGCGGCGCGATTGATGCGCGACGAATTTAACGTCGTCCGTGATTTCTATCTGTCGCTGTTATGCTTGAAAAATGTTGTGCCTCAATTAATCAATACGCAGCGAGATGTGTTGGATGCGCTCTCCCGGAGTCCTCGGGGCGCATGCCCCTTTTGCTGGGTCCGTGTTGCTCCATTTCTATTAATAGCATAGCGCGACGCATCAGTGTGGGTGCACCAAGTTGATGTACAATAAAGCAACGATGCCCTACTTAACATTTTCATATCGGCTCGTTATACCGAGACACTAATGGAAAAGGATTGGCTGTACATGATAAAAAAAAGTCCCAGAAACCCCAATAATCTGAAAGATGATAAGAATACATGATATCCCTACAGGTTAAAACATTTTAACACGCTTCTCATAATTTCTTTTTAGGATTTTGAGGCAAACGTCCTATTTAAATTAATCAAGGCGACGACCGTAATCGTTGTATACAGAAGTGTTTAAAATATGGTCACCAAGTATACAACTCAGATCAAAACAACTTCAGGTACCTATCATAAAAATGTATAGGTTCGTAACATTATTTTTAATAATATGCAATTACGCTACACTTCTAGCTCTCCCGAGCACATAACGTCGCTCATCTAGCAATGGGTCTTGCAATTTATTAATCGGTAACGATTGAACTCGATCAGAAGCCTACGCAAATTAAAAGCCCCGCTGAATACATACTTATCTTACTTATACCATACACCAACGCACGCACGGTAACGGTTGAATAATCGGAACCAATTGATTTTTTTTCCACAGGTCTTACCTGAGTACACGGAGACGTTGCAAGGTTCACGGGAACGTGGTCTAAGGCAACTCGGCGTTCAGGTACATTGATATTTACAAGCAACAATCATAAATCATTCCTAATACCAGTCCGTTCCAAACGCCTGCACTTTATCGACCTCCTTTGTCTTTGTCATGGTGGATGTTTGCGCTTTCAGTCCGTTGACTATGTAAAGCTTGATCGGGCACGGAGCCCGTGGATAAGCTAAGTTTCCCCGAACATGATGGACCCTACGTAAGCAGTGTCACGTGGACATGCTTGCATTAACAAAATGAACGGCCATCGGGGTACTGTCGACCATTACAATGTATATAACACATTTTTACATCAAAGGATCGTTTGTGTATTATGTTAAAACGGCTGTTATAACGTTAGTGATTATTTAATTGATAGCACACTCTGGTGATATAATGATAACACATTTAAACGACAAATTAACTGATCGCTCCAGGCTCAAGCAGAATTTGTTATATATATTATTTAAATATTGTAAACATGGTTTTGTTTTTATATATTGTCAAACTAGGTTAAAAAAATTGAGTTAAACAAAAATATACTTGAGTTTAGTGACGGTGGCTTTTTGTCCGAACCGGTTGTAGTGTTTGTTGACAATCAATAAATAAGTGTAATGATTCTATTGAGATATATTAATTTGAATTTAAGTTTCATTATATGATTACGGATACGCATTACACAGGTCCAATTGAAAAAATAATTACCATGACCGAAATATTTTGGAAAGCGGACCTTTATCTGTAAACCTGCATAGAAATCAATGAATTTTTCCGTCGAGTCCATGACTCCAACGACTACACAACAGATTTTTTTAGACTACTCGCACGCGATTGTCACCAGCTTAGTCACAAGTATTATCAGAATTCAATCGGTTAACGTAAAATAGTTTTAATTTATTTCAAATCAGTAATGCTATATGGAAACGAAGGAAAGTTTTAGCGAACTAGGTGCAGAATTTTCGCACTACTCCACTGTAGCAACGGGCGGGGATTCCATCTTGCCAATATAAACACAATATAATATTACGATATAACATCAGAATGAAAGGAAATTCTTAGTAAAGGAGATCTTATAATAGACGATATTGCATTTCCCTTACCTAATACTATTTTTGTTACAAACATCAATGTCGTGACGTGGGAATGTGAATTAATTTTAAATGTCCATAAAAAAATATATATTGTCACATCTTCATGTTCTCTTGACTGATTATGGAATAATGTAATGATAACATTACATAATAATATTAATATATTAGTATATACCAGTATTACCATAATCAGTCAAGTACACAGTACAAGATAACATTGAAGTTGATCTCTATCGATTTGAAAATGTTATTTGCTGAAAAAAATATTTATTTGACTTTCTGCATTCGATTGACAAAATGTGACAAAAGTTGAAGCTCGATGTTACTTGTTCATTACAGATTTTCGAAATTCTTTCAAAAATTTATCTTATGTAAAGTAAAAAGCAATAAGTATCGATATAATATATAGGAACACTTCATTTCTGTTTTGTGAGCATTTGAAATTTTCTAATAGTAGCACAGCGGGAATCGCGATAGGTGCGTATTAAAATTTAGCGCATTCGAACATCGGTTACAGAAACATTATCCCATATGCCACCTCGAGAGGAAGATTCGGAGGCTGAACACCGATGACTACGAATACCGGCCAGCTTACTACGAGGAGGTGCGTTGCACAGCAGCACCGGCCGACGACTCCACTTTAGGCAACGAGGTGAAACGATTTGTCACTTTTTCGACATTAATCCTACAGACATCTATCCTACGTAAGACTTCATCGGTTACAGGTTGGGTTTACCTCGAATAACTTTAATGTTAGCTGAACGCTATTTAAAATTACAACTCTAACAAGCTGCGGTTCTGTTTACTTAAATCATACAGTAGTAATTAATGTATTATGCATATTGTAAATCAATTTGAATTATAAAGCCAGTGTCTAATGGTATGTATAATCTTTCATCACCGTTTCTGTTTGAACAGACTGCCTTCAAGTGGCAAGTATCTAGTTAAACATCAAGTATCTTTAGTTTTCGTAAGTGTAATTGAAATTATCACTATCTCGAGTAATAAGTTTTCGCCGCTGTCTAAAATATGTTCTACTTTTTAGCCGCCGCAATATATAATCACCAATTCCGTTTTCAGATATGCTCAAGTCTTGGATTTTCTTGTGTCCAATGGAACAAAACAATTCATCTGACGCGCCGGCGATATTCCAGGTGACAAATATTTTCTTTGTGTATTTAATATGATTTAAAGTCTCTTTAATATATAACGTTTGATACAAATTGTTAATTTAAATCGATTTTCCAAAACAGCGTCGTAGCAAAGTTCTTTGCTTTTATTGCTTACTTTTTTATTTCTTGGTAGCATATAGTAAATTGAAATAAAACACTTTAAATTGTTACAGTGATTGTTGGGAGACGAAGACCTTAGTGATACCCGCAGGATGCGAGTGCATGTGGCCTGTTCATCGTCTTGGTGACATCACCCTACACGTTTGAATCTAGCAACACTGGCTTGAATAATAATTGTATAATGTTTTCATGAAATCAATACCATAGCTTAAGACGTTAAAATTTACCCTAATCTGTAATAAAGAAGTGATTTGTTGTGTAACATTAACTAAGAATAGCGAGTTAATAACTTAAAATTATTATTAATAATTTTTATTGCCTGTATGCACGTGTAGGTTCAATTAATTAGAAACGATTGTATACTTTTATAAATAAAACGTTGTCTGCATGATGGTGCAGGTTTTATTCCGAATATAAAAGAAAAGAAAACCCCACGGAAAATTACAGACAAAGGTGATAAAGATTTCGAATTTCAATGCAGTTCATCTGACGTATCAACGCAACACATGTAAATTTCTAATGTTGCAGTAGGGACATTAACATAAATTTCGATTGACAACCGTCGCCGATGATGTAATGAACATATTCGGTTCCACAACTAACTACGAAGCTGTGTTTACCAACCAAAGTATTGGCTACAGCGCCCCTAACGTCGCTATTGGATGTTACAGATAGTATGTTTTAACTATGCTTTTTCTTACAGCACGTGCATTTCAGCGTTTCAACTACAGACATTTCTCCAATTCTACTCAGATTTGTAAATTATCTCATCGCAACACTTTGTGACGTATAATTTAAATCTTAAGGACGATAAGATTAAAAGTTGTAGAAAAGATTATGCATTTAAAACTACGATATAACTCAAAATATAAATTATTTAGCAAAACTTACAATAATATTTTTATTGTATTTATTTATGAATAAACATGTTTTATTCCTGAACTATCCAATTTAAAAGAGTTTATTTTAGGACGTGAGTATAATATAATTAACTACAAAACATGCCACATATAACCATGCAACATTGTTTAAAAGTCTACAGCATCAATTCCTTAAAATGTGTATTTAAATGTAGGTTCTACGAAAAATATTTTTTTGAATTTTATTTTACAACATTGTTAGTTACTTCTTTAGTATTATTTAAAATTAAAGATATTTGAATTCTACTATACATTGTTAAGTCTCTATATCAAAATATGTAATGAATCTATAAATATGAGATCCAAATTATGGACACAATTTTGACAAAAATTTTAATGATCATTTTTTATAGTTAATTAGTTGAAGATACATATTTATCGGTATAACGTCATTGTGATTCAAAAACCTTTCATGATCAATAAGGGAAATTTTGAAAAAAAAAAACAAAACAATGAAGGGACATTCACAAAGATCTTTTAAACACGAGGGTTCATTACGGCAGGCCAGTAAATTTAACGTGCTGCCCACCTTAGTCGCGTAGCCTCCAAAACCACTGCTTCCCTTGACCACTGGGTAACCTGCGAACATAAATAAAAAAATAAAATAAAACAAACGAAATACTGTTAGTCATTGTTTTGCCGATAAATAATCCACGCATCGGTTACGTACCTGAAGAATTAGGAAGCGGTCGGCTCCATGCTTTGCGGTGCTATGATATCTCCAGTTAGCAATACATTTTCCGTGCAGTACAGATCGCTTACACCCTTCCCCGCGCACCCCGGGCACCGGGAGATCGATAAGAGCCGGCCGGGAAAATGGACCGGCGCAGTAAATTACATCTCGCATAATAATGCACGGCCATACATTCTATGTTTGTATGGCTACTAACGTGTCCATGTTCCTCGTGAAAGCTTAAAACATAAATCAATATATAACATGTATCTTAATTTTGTAAATAAGAAATAAATACTTTTTCGAAAATCTACTTCATGCTGATGCTTCGGCATTCAACAATAACAATGTTAGTATTCTGTAATGACTTGTTGCACGTACGCGTAAAGCGTACAATTAGAACTAATTTTAAGGTTTTTAGCGCGTTTAATTGGTTTTAAAAATTACCAATGTTTCGCAAACTCACAGTACCTGTAGCAACTTAAATTTTATTGCTTCACACATTGTTTGTTGTGTTTCGTGTTTCTGCGCCCCTCGCCATCTGGAGACTAGGGCGTCCACTCGTTTTGCTTTAACTTGGCTTCAATACTGTGGTCGAACCTATATCAGACTTAAATTATGATTAATACAATTTTTTTTCATAGATACAGACTAAATGCTTAACGATAGAAGTGCCATGTCTCAATATGTATGACGATAAGCTACTTTGATTATTTTCACAGTCTATATCAGATTTATTGGACCACTTTGTTGCAGTCTGACATTGTAGTGTTATTATCCTGTAATCGCATTTGCTAATCTAACTCTGTAACAGATTAAGATCACAGATTTGAAAAATATTTAGTCAATGATACTGTTCTAATCGTATCATACAGACAACGACGAAAATTTGTACACAGAGATTATGGAAAAGAGCATTTAGGAAGTGTTTTCACTTGTACAGTTTGTACAGACCACCACCTGCTGCTCTACACACAAACATTAAAGGAAAATGATGGGCACTTTAACCATACATTGGAAAGTGATGTGAATGCTCGTGATATAAACAGACAGTTGTTCACATAGAAAATAATGATATTACTTTTGACAATGAAATCTCGCCAAATTAATTGACAGATATTTCTGCAATTATTTCGCAGATATACAAATCTCAAATTTAAAGTACTTGAACGAATAACGTTCATTATTAACTTAATTTCCCACTCATAAAATCTGTAATGTACTCCAGGTATAATCAGGTGCATGACTACATGTGGATAAAAGTTGTACATAAAATGAATTGCTTCTTTTTTTTTCTATTCAAATATGGTTAAAAATAAATTTCAAACGTGGTGTTTCTTAAATAAATATTTTTGTAATATCCAAAATTGCATTTAAAAAGGTCATTAAGTACAATTGACTGCTTTATTCATTTACCATGTGGGGCCAGCGTAAGAATAAGCCACCTCATCTCATTTCGTAGTTGGCAAAGTAAACAAAGAAGAAAGTATAACCGACTAAGGAATAGGCCACAAACATCTGACTCTCCACTAACCATGTAGACCCTACAGATTTCTGTAGAGTCTAGATGGTTAGGATATACATATATATATATATATATATATATATATAGTTATCCGTTCTAGGAGTTGTTTGATCCAGCGTTACGTATGATCAGTTTTTTGTTGATCCGCTCAAAATTGTTGATCCATACACGATTTGTTGATCCAATACCATTATGTATGTGATTTAGTGGCTCCATTCGGATCAACAACTTCTCGTCAATATCTTTTTGAAAGTAGCTACAATTTATACAAATCCACTCCGTACTTATTGGATCCAATTCAAACGGTCGAATCACAGATCACAGCAGCATTCATTGGTTGAGATCATCACTTTACGTCAGTGCCTACTTATTAAGAAGAATTACTGTATCTCGTGAATGTGATATTTGTTGAAATACATGCTTTAAAGGGCCAGCAATATCTAGCGCTCGCGCGCTTTTCAGATTCACATGCTATACAACCATTATATTTTAATCTATATATAATAATTAATCAATATCTCGGTAATCGGTATCAATACTCAACTGTTAATTATTTAATTCACGTATAAAATGAATGTAGTTCTACTTCAATATTTAAAAAATAATGTTGAAGAATAAATAAGACTAAGTAATTTTAATAGCAATGGAGAATACCTGATAGGTCCAAGTGTACAATAATTTTAAAAATTATATAAAAAACAGAAAAATAATAAACAAAATTTTTCGTAATTCGTTTGTTTATAAACAAGCGTCTGTTCACAAAACCAAATGAATCATGAATTAAATTATAATTTTTTTATGATGTAACAACGTGATAAATTATGATTTTATTAAAATGGTTCCTTAATGTTAACACTAAGGAACAAAAAAATGTAATTTAGAAAAAGCGTTTTTAGCAGTGAAACTTTTTTTTCTTAAATGTCATATTTTCATTAAGCATCATATTCCTAAAAGAAAAAAATTGAAAATGTTATAAACAATGTATTTATTTATAATAATTACAATTCAAGTAATTTTTTTAAAGGAACAGAATAATCAAAAAATTTAAAAAAATCTTGATTGATTTATTAACGTTTTTCATATTTCAATGCTTTAGATTGGTAATAAAACAATGAAAAATTAGAATTTTTTTGCCAATCTTTTCTAAACTCTCAAGAAGTGACAAAAATATTCTGGGTTAGACTACATAGAAATAATCTTAATTTTTTTTTCGTCCTATTATTATTTATTCATGTGCCTAGAAAGAACTATATTTTATATTCCTTAATATTCTATTTTATTTGGTTAAAATAATCTTTTAGAGTCCCTTTTGATGTAAAGATTTGTCCGATAAATCGCACATTATCTCTTAACTAATCTAACTCTAACCCACTGAATAGCACTAGCCTCAATAACACTATTGATTCCATAATAAATAATAATAATTTATTCTCTTGTAACCAAACTCATATTTGATAATGAGTTGAGCAATGACTTGTAAACAAATTTAACAGTTAAAATTAAACTAAAATATTGTCATCCTCGTCTCTTTAAAGAAATTTGCACACTACATCATTTGTCGCATTACATTGCGACCGTTGTTGATCCGTTTCCTAGTGCAATAGTAGCAATATATTGTACAACTAGCTTGCGCCCGCGGCTTCGCCCGCACATTATATCGTGCTTAAAAATACCTATGGAACCCTTCGTGCGCAACTCCAACTCGCGCTTGGGCGATTTTTTTTTTAACTTTATATAAACCATCATTTTACAGACCATAGTTAACTATAGTTTCATCGCACAAATCTACAATGTGGTTCTTTAAGTTGATATAACTATTTTATTTATCATCCGACTAAATAAAACTAAAATAATCAAAATAAAGAGACGAGGCGGTCGGTGCATGTGAGTGTGAAGTAAAAGATGATTTCTTTCATCTTGAGATACGAAATAAACTTGCTTTAAAAATCCAAGATTTACGATGGATTTTTTAGATGTGTAATAAGTGACTCTATAAAATACAATAATTTGTTCTTCAAATTATTTTATTTTAGTTAAAGAACACAATTGTAACAGTTTTCCCAGTTAAAATCATTTTGATTTTAAAATTGATAAATATTGTTTGCTTTATAAAACTGGTGACCAAGATTTGCTAAGAATATTCTTTTCGTCAATTATTATTTTTTGGAAAATGTTATTCAACCAGCATGATTCGCATTAAGATACATATAGAATCATCTCAAAGTCTATGAAAACGGCAAAAATAATTCATATCTGTAAGTCATCCCCACTTAAATATTTTTTATTCAGTTATTTAGTGTTTGTTGTTATGGCGGCAACATAAAATACATCATCTGTAAGAATTTCAACGGTTCATGAAATACAGCCTGGTGACAAACGGTCAGACTCACAGCGGAATCTTAGCAATAGGGGTCCAGTATTACCCTTTGCGGAACCCTAAAAAGTGGATAGCATAAGCATCTCATTATCTTCTTTAAATCTTGCTGAGTCCTCTGCCGATCGGACTCGGATCAACGTGTAGCTCACTTAACCCATAGCTTTTTGGCATGGATTTATTGGTAATCGATCTCGCGTTTACAACGCTCAAGTGAATACCCTTTTGCCAAAAAAGAGACATTACAAACGATACTCGTGGTAGTCGTGGTGCAACTACGGGTTCGAAGAACTATTATTTATTCATTTATTTTTCCAAAAATTTTACGGTTCTTATCTATCGATACGATGGTGGGTTCTTGAAATATTTAAACACAATTAAAGATTTCAAATTTAACAAGTCCTCTACCTAGATGTTAGATCGCACAAGTAAATCTCACTATGCGCATATACGTGTTTAATAAGCAAAATTCTCCTAACTAATATTAAAATGCAAATGATGAAAATTAATACCGTTGGAAGTTTGTAATTGTGCTTTCGAATTACGGTTGAAGTCTAGCCCATGTTAGGTAACTACATGTATAAACAAAGTAAAAATGTGTCCAAAACGGTAGAGTCAAGGCTCTCGCGCAAGGCAATATAATATGTCGATGTACGTATGCGCCTCAGTCAGTCCAGTTCTCGAATTGCTAGGGAAAGGTTGCGCCGAGTTCGCATTTAGCCGCACTTCCGTCAACATCGTTATAACGACATCAGTAAGTATTTTCCATTTTCTATATTTCTCCCGATTTAAAACGAAGTCCTATGCTTCATTTCGTGTTAGAGGACTTGAATAAACGCTGAGCTAACGGTGAAAAACCATAAGTTATTTTTTTTTTTATCTCGTTAACTAGTTAAGACTAGATTCTCGGAAAAATTGTCAGTCACCTAAAGTATTTAGATCGGTCGCCCTACCATTTTCTTCGTTAGTTACCACGCCGCTACAAAGTTGCCTCTCTTTCAAAATTTGTTTTGCTGAATCTAAAACAGTGTTTTCCGCTCTAATACGTTTTTTATCGTTTGGTGTTGATCATTATAACTATAATTATAACCACACCCACGACTTCTCCTAAAAGCGTGTTTAGTTCTTTTTATAAAGAAAGATAAATTCCTAAAAAATACATTAAGATATTTACGTATTAATTTAAAGTAAAACTATTTAAATCTTCGTTTGTTTACAATATACCAATACTCGAAACTTAGAGCCTAAAGTAACATACCATATGTATATCTTTAA